TGTTTAACGCCACACTCAGCCAGACAATCCAGTGATCAAAAGCCTGAGCATTGTTCTACACGATGGAGATGTGGTGAAAGGTGTCGAACCAAGTCAGTGACAACCCGATGCCGTTAGTCGCCTTTCACGACAAGCATGGGTTGCTGAAGACCAATTCTAACCCGGATCTGCACGGATCATTGTCCTTTATGATAGCCCCTCGTATGATATTGTTTTTCCGTGTCTTACCGGACTTTTTTCATCGGGTATTATCAGTATTATCGCCACAACTGGAAGATGGAACGAACTGGTCGGTTCAGAGTCTGTGCACCGTTAACTCTTTGAAGCATAAGTCTGGCCTAGTACAAACAGACAGCCAGATGCGCGCCTACTCCATGTGCATCACTATTATGTCACTTTTCCACGTGGCAAACTTTGAACATACATTTTCATGGGCTTAACAGGCGGTCTGATTGAACTAAATCTTTTTTTTTATGAACAAACTCTTATGTCAAAAATGTGTCGCCAATGGCATTTCCGTCAGAGAAACCTTCGAGCAACAAAGCATGAATCACATTGAAATTTACTTTTTTGACTTGATTGTCAAGGGTCTCAGATCCATCTCAGTCAACAGTACATATCGCATATAGAAATGTAACCCGTGAAGATCCTGGTTTGAATTGGTCCTCATAAAATGGGGCTTGTCGTAAGATGCGACTAACGGGATCGGGTGATCAGGCTCGATGACTTGGTTGACACATGTCATCGGTTCCCAATTGCGTAGATCGGTGCTCATGCTGTTGATCACTGTATTGACTGCTCGAGACCGAATTATTTGCAGCTGGAATATTGCAGAGTGCGGATAGCCAAAAACAGAAGTTTCCGTATTTGGAGTTCTGTAAGGACCATTCTTCCGATCGCGCATTCTCGCACGTTTTCCTGTAACACTTAAATAAAATCCGAATTTGTTTACGTACAGAATTGACAAGGGTCCACTGCGACCATTGTTTTTCGTTTTCAATATTTTCGTAAAGATAACATTGTCATAACATTCATAAATTATTGCTAAACATGTTGTTATCGCTCATACATCATTACAACACGTGTGGCAGTATATTTCCGAAAGATATAACGGTCAAAGCGCAGATTGTAAAATACAAATAGGAACTTGTCAACTATAGGATCACAGGGCGGTGGGTTGGCCGTGTGGTTGTAGGGATTGCTCGCCACTCCAAAGACCCGGGTTCGATTCCCACATGGGTACAATATTTGAAGCAAATTCCTGGTGTCCCCGTCGTGATATTGCTAGAATGTTGCTGGAAGCGGCGTAAAACCCATACACACTGCAACACCCATCCACCCACTCACTCACTCACCGGCTGGATTCAAGAATTCATGGTCCCATTACACAAAAGCCACCTTAGCGCTACGACTGTCGTAAATCATTGTTAAAACATCGAGTTACGATCATCCTGACGCAAAGATCGCCTGATGGAACAATCTGTTTGATTGGCATTAAGTACGAGGGTCGGTTAAAAAGTAGTCGGCCTAACTATATTCTCGATGTACAATGTTTGAAAATCTTCCATTTTAGTTTGTAGGAATTATCAAAGCCGTATAAAAATTTCACATATGTGGGTAATGTGATTAACGAGATATTAGTCATCACAATACATTGGGGTATAATATTTCTAGAAAAAATGCAGAAAATGAGAAACGATCTGTCATTTAGTACCTCTTGGATAATGGTATGCCCTCAGATAATGTCATATAAAATATGTTAGTATAGTATTGGATGACTTCCCGTCATAATCAAGAGTCAAAGCTTTGGATTGCTTGATTCATATTTAGTCGGGGGCTGTTTCTTTTAAGGACGCCCCCCATTTAAGTCTTTCAAAAACATTGTGTCCAGATATTCAAGCTGGCCCTGTTTACAATATACTGAGAGTTGACACGTGTGACCATTCAGTATTTACTTTGAACATTTAGCATCATGTGTGAAAAAGTGAAAACATTAGAATAAGTTATGTCCTTATGATTTCGTGGTCTGAAAGGGGGTGGGTAGTGTTTCCAAAACAAGCTGTTTCAGTAAACATCAAGGGGGAATCACTTTAACAAGCGATTGTACTTTCAAATTGCTTTTATGCACTTTAATATCTAAGTTTGATTCTAGCGGACGTCTACCTATCTCAAACACACAAAATGTTTCTTGCATATTTTGTTACCTGAAGTTTGTGGTGCATTTATTGCAGATTTTGCGCTTTTGGGGGGTACCAAGATAAAATTTCAACCAAAATGGGGATTGTAAGGCTGGAGCGTAGCAAAACCAATTTGCTTGAGGTTGACTGATAATATGTAGAAAAATAAAACATAAAAAACAGCTGCATTTGTATCATTTACTAGGTCAGGCCGACTACTTTTTGACTGTCCCTCGTTTTATACTTTTCTATGATGAACAAGGCTCAGGGACCTTTCACCCCGACACGTCAGCGCCATGTCATAACATCCTGCGAATTTTTATTGCAGGTCACACCGAGATAATGCCATGTGACGTCCGCATGGTAACATCAGTTGGTCTGGTCATCAGCGGTGCATTAGCTCCTCTCAGTGAACTATCATGTATACTCTTCAAAAAAAGAAGAGGAACTTCATCTTTTATTTACGATTGAAATAAAATGGGAGATATATCGGAGTTAATCAATGTTGATATGATAATAATGAATGTTTTGAGAGTGCATCACTATTTGCACTTCCGTGTGTCCATAGCTGTTTGTAGAGTAATCACTCTTGAACGATGATCGGTGTATGGGGTGAAATTTGCATGTGTACGATTTTCATTTTCAAACAAAAACACCGGTTAGAAACAAACTCTAACAACTGTGTGAGGCAAGATGATTGTCAAAATTAATGGTCTACAGTGTTTTATCGACATCCTTGAAAACCGTCAAAATCAAGAATGGCACCTCATGCACGTGTATTGGGCTAATGCATTGTACACGTGCACCCATACGTTGTGTTTAGGGGTGGTGATAAAGGGAAATAGTGTTGCGTTCATAAGATGTCTGTCTTTGAAAGGTTTGTTCACGCTTATACTTCTTATCAAAATTGAAAGTTCAGGTCGCCTACTTTTTTCAACGAGTAGATATAGGCATGATGTGTATTAGGCATATAAATGTAGATCGTGTACACATCTGGTTCGAACATTCTTTACTGTGGTCATCTTTCGGAATAAATAAGTAAAGCTTGCAGACTCCAAGTAAGGTGGTTCGACGCCTTTTCCATCTATTTCAGGGGACGGCAGCCAAGGTGTCGATGCATGCAAATATGTGCATTTGTCGCTTGTTGCTTTTTTTGCTCGTTCACATTTTTTTATAAACTACAGAGAGCAGGATTAACTCGTTAAATGTCGCTTTATTCGCAGGAAAGGGTCCTTGAAATCCAATCCACTATCGATCGCTACATTTGCGGAAGTGCGAATCGCCAGTGTCTCCAGCCTTCTTTACATTTTTCTACCGTCAATGTCAGTGTTTCTCTCCCACACGTATTGACACAAACAACCCCACAGAATATTAGATCCATTTATATCCACGCCATTCAAGAGTTCTGGTGAATTCTTTTTTTGTTTATTGTTTAACACCGCACTCAGAAATGTCCAGGTCTGACAAAGTGTCCGGTCAAGACAATCCAGTGATTGACATCATGAGCATCGATCTCCGCAGCTGGGATAGGATGGCGTGACAAACAGCGAGTCTGACAACCCGATACCCTTAGTCACCTCTTACAAATAGCACAGGTTGCTGAAGACTAATTTAACCTGGACCGCCGCTGGACCAGACAATCCAGTGATTGACATCATGAGCATCGATCTCCGCAGCTGGGAAAGGATGGCGTGACAAACAGCGAGTCTGACCACCCGATACCTTTAGTCACGTCTTACAAATAGCACGGGTTGCTGAAGACTAATTTAACCTGGACCGCCGCTGGACCAGACAATCCAGTGATTGATGTATTCTTGTTTAGTTGAATACAGCGACTGAAATATTTCTTGGTTTCGATCCTAACTCGTAGGCCCTGGTATTATGCCATTCCATTTGGAATTCTATTTGTGAAGACCTACTTAGTAGAAGAGCTGTCAGTCCCCGAAATATGTATTGCCTGTGCATGTGTTTATTAAACGTGCCCACTGTATCGCTAACACCTTGTACCATTAACATGGGATAGTGTGTGTGAGTTTAGTTTTACGCCGCACTCAGCAATATTCCAGCTATATGGCGGCGGTCTGTAAATAATAGAGTCCAGACAATCCAGTGACCAACAGCATGTGCATCGAACTACGCAATTGGGATACGATGACATGTGTCAGCCAAGTCAGCGAGCCTGACCACCTGATCCCTTTACTCGCCTTTTACGACAAGCATGGGTTACTGAAGATCAATTCTAATCCGGATCTTCACGGGTCTTAACATGAGATGTCAATTCATACATACCTGCATACATTCGTATAATTGAGTGTTTATTAGTTTGGCTCTTTTACTCAGCTATCATTCCTTGAAAATAATATCAACATATACTTGAAAATATAAAAAATGTCAGATATACTTATAATAAATAAGAAAAAAACAAAACAAAAAAACGCGCGCGCACACACGCACATTCACACACACATACACACAGTGCAACAGCATGTGTATCATACTACGTGGAAACATAAAACATATTTAAACCACAATACAATGTCATTGCCATTCAATCATAAATTCAAACAATGTGATACCAACTCAGCTGATCGATTACACTTGTATAAAAATATTGAAACTTAATGAATTACAAACACCGGCCTCATTATATTTTTGTAACATAACGTATCAATTATCTTTCATGTCACAAAGTCACTTTACCATTGCTTGCGGTATAGTGATGGCTTGTCACAGACAATGATTGATTATCTATATTAATCTTAATATTTTTAGTACCCTTTCCTAAAGTAGGACCACGCAACTAAAGGGACACGTATAAAAGACCGATCAAGAGAAGCAAACGCCACCCTGTACATCAGCGGAGACTTGTGAGTATATGGTTTACTCTGCCGTTCGTTTGTTTGTTTATTAATTTTGTTTGTTTATTTAATCGCTGCTAACAGCAATGTTCCAGCTATATGACGGTGGTCTTTGAATGATCGAGTCTGGACCAGACAATCTAATGATTGACATCATGAGCATTGATCTATGCAGTTGGGATACGATGACATGTGTCAAACAACAACCCTGGCCACCCGATGTCGTTAGTCACCTCTTACGAATAGCGACCGCCTCCGCGGTGTAGTGGTTAGAGCGTCCGCCCGGAGAGCGGAAGGTCGTGGGTTCGATCCCCGACCGCGTCATACCAAAAGACGTTAAAATATTGTACTTGTTGGTCCCTGCCTGGAGCTCGGCATTAATGGGTACAACAAGGACTGGTCGGCTCGGAGTCAGTATAATGTGTCTTGAGTGGGGTATTCATGCTTCACTGTGGCATGGTATCTCAGTGGGCTTGCACTATAAAACCAGCTTCAGTCTGGGCTAGTACAAGCAGCCGCACCTACACATACATACGCATGCACGTCGTCATTTGAGCGAAATATTCTCCAGCGCGACGTTAAACCCAATTTCACCTCACCTCACCTTACGAATAGCATGGGTTGATGAAGACTAATTCTATCCCGGATCTTCAAGAGTACTTTTACGTCGCATCGGCCTTGTTTCAACCAAACAGCGACGAGAAGAAGTTGCACATCTCAAGTTGGATCATGGGGTCTTTCGGTACCTCTTTTATTGCATATAAACCCCATCGTCTTTTGACGGTTGTCCTCAATGCTAGCCATGTAAATTATTCTCAGCGATTAATTGTTTTTAAACACTAGTTCATGACGGGGTCATTGCTTATGATAGGACTTCAACCTTCTCGACAGTGTATTCAATGATCTCGCTTGATGAAACCACCACAATCAATGTAAAATCGAACAAGCAATGGGTTCAGCAAATATATGTGTACACATCAAGACGAATTCCTTCGAACAGGTTACGATGATATGCCCGTCTATATGCGAATGCCCCTCAGATGTCTACATTTACTGACTGATAATGCAAATTCCTTACAGTCGAAGATTTACTTTTTAAGAATAAAATAATGTCAATTATTTCACTCGCTCGCCATCTGCAATAAACAAAGAAAACGTAATTAACAATGGTCACCAGACTTAAGAAATGCGCCCTTTTTATTTTGCAAACTGCCCCAATGTTTTAATCAAATTCGTCCTGAAAATGTCGCTTACCCGTCCGACAAAGTAGACATCACAGCTGGGAAAGATGAGGTTACATGTTATTCCAGCGATACCAAATACATCGTGCTGCATCTCAAGAAGATCTGCTTACACTCATATCCCGCCTAATTTTGCTTGCTGGGGTGAGTGAGTTTAGTTTTACTCCGCTTTCAGCAATATTCCAGCAATATCACGACGGGGGACACCAAAACTGGGCTCCACACATTGTACTCATGTGGGGTCTCCACAGTGAGTGAGTTGTACTTAGCAATATTGGCGGGGTCTGGACCAGACAATCCAGTGACGAGCGGATGCATTTAAAACTAGGATACCCCACCGGCCCTCTTACGACAAGATAGTCCACAGACATGTCTTCACGGGTCCGGTCTCCAACACAATCCACAGACATGTAACACAGTCCCACAGAAAGAATGTTATTTTCCTACTCTTTTAGACGTGCACTGTATATTAGATAGAACATTAAAATGTTAACGGAATAAACATGCACCATGATTGTGACGATAAATTGATTTCATCTCGGTCTTTTGACAGAAGGACTAAGCAACCAGTTGACTTATACTCTTTTTATAATTATCAAACAAGCAGTTAATTTTCTCTTCTCTTGACAGAATCATCAACAATGAATACCCTTGCTGTTGCACTCTGTCTGGTTCTGGTGGCGATGGCCACAGCCACGTACCCACCTGTTGGAGGAGATCAAGGGTATGGCGCATACCCGGGCAACAACGTGGATAACAACCAATACCCCAGGCAGGTAGCCAACATCAATCAACAACAGTCCAACAAGCAATACGCTGACCAAGATTACTACAATCGTGGCTACGACTATGGGGTTCCCTACTATGGTGGATACAGGCGCGGCGGCTATTACCCTGGTGGCAAGGGATACCGTTATTAAGATGCTTCATCCACAATGTCAATAACGCCGTACTATAGATACTGCGTATGTCTTTTGTATGACATTAATAAACTGTTGTGCAAATTAAGTGTGCATTATTCTTTTAAAAAAAAACCGTGGGAGACGGGTTTGAATGTGTCCGCGGCGCCCATTTGTTGTCGTGAAAGGCTATATTAGTTTGGTTTAGTTGTTGTTACACGCCGCCCTCAGCACTATTCCAGCTATTTGACGGCGGTCTGTATATAATCACGTCTGGACCAGACTATCCAGTGATCAACACCATGAGCATGGTTCTGGGATCGTTGGGATACGATGACATGTGTCAACCAAGTCAGCGACCTGACTACCCGACCCCGTTCGTCGCATCTGACGAGAAGCATAGGTTACTGAAGACCAATACTAACCCAGATCCTCACGGGTCAACGACTATATAAGGCAATTCGTGGATTGTCCCTATGTCGATGGAGGAAAGAAGTCTGGCTGTTGAGAGCATTGCGACGAGGAACGTGTTCCCTTTGCCCTCGACATCACTTTGACCTTACCTGCAATAGGCTGGATATAGGATGGGCTCCGCACATCAGTATTGTGTAGAAACAAAAGAAACGTTCCCTCAGGACTTTGAATCGATTTCAGTTTGTCTCAAATATATTCTGTCTTAAGCAAATATGTTAAGACAATGCGATACAAATATGGTAAAAAATCATTTGTATATTCAGAAAAGTTTTCAAAATTACAAACCATGTTAGCCTTGAAGGCTGATGTATTTCATTTGGACCTAACAGATATTTCTTGCAAAAATGTTGTAAATCCTGATGCTCTCCGTACAATATTAATATTGAAAATACAAAAAAATATGAATAGGCAGAAAATTAATGTTTTAATAATATTATAAACATTTTGATTTGGAAAACGACTATGAAAATTACCTTTTTCTAGTTCGTTTAACAAAGTGAGTGAGTGAGTCAGTTTAGTTTAACACCGCTTGTAGCAACATTGCAGCAATATTACACCAGAAATGTTCTTCACTCAATGTACCCATGTGGGAATCGAACCCGTTTCTTAAGAGTGACGAGTGAACGCTTTAACCACAAGGCTACCCCACCGTCCCCGTTCAACAAGGAATTAAATATGAGAATTCAGATTACATTATTTCAGAAAAGACACTTGCGCTGTATGAGCGAATTTTCGGGTGCCTTACGTTGTAGTGGGATTAAGCATGGTGTGAGCGGTCTACATCAGTAAATCGGTGATTTGCCATTAGGATTTCCTATTTGCATGTTATTAGCCTTGATTTATATATTTGCCCAAAGTGGTGTTTTTCCTCCCGCCTCACGTTAACATTTGTGCCCATGTAGTGTCTCTACCCATCTTGTCTATGCAGGTAGCAAAGGTACTGTAAGTCCCTACGGTCTCTAGTATGGTGATCCACCTTCACTGCTGGCCATCTACAGTTCGTTTTATATTGTATTGTCCGTAATAGTTTACTTCAGGACATTTATCCTATTACGTGTGATCATACTGCGATCATCCTTTGTGACTATTTCCTCATCGCTTGTGTCAGAAAGACAACAAGCCCTGTCTCTGGTTAAAAGTTCTGTGCGCTGAAACAACAACTGTTGTCAAGTTGTTGTCCCCGTGCACATTCCACTAATATTGAGACATTTCGGAGACACGCCCTTCACGTCCCTGCAGACACCTTGAATGCCCTTGGAATAACAAATTGGTTTAGTTTTAAACGATGTCCATCAGTAGATGAGATCACAATGAATCTCGTCCATTCTTCACCGGATAATGTAGATGAATCATGTCTATGAAACAGAGCCATAGTGTAGGACAAGCATTCAACACTCCCACTAACTACCCACAATGGAGTTTCAACAAGGACAGTGGTGCAGTGGAAATCAGCCTGCTCCACCGAGACTACAGGGATGTTATACTACAGGGATGTTATACTACAGGGATGTTATACTACAACACAAAAATACTTCGGTAGCTGTTGAATATCTTTCTGAAGAAACACAGAATACAGGGGTTACTATTGCCAGATTGACCCACTACCTTCTGGCATAGCACTTAGGCAATTTAGAATTTATACATTGAAGATCGAAATAGCCAAGACCAATTATTAAAAACCAAATATGTGTAAAGGTACTAACCTTGCGCAGAGCACGGTGGGATCAGCCGGTTGATAAAATAGGGCAAATTCTACCATCCGTCTTGGTGAAGTTAGAATTGGTGTGTTCGGCAAAGGATCATGGTTCCTGGAACCAGTGCCCTTAATCACCAGAATCCCGCCCTCCACAGATACTGGGCGCAACCCATGGCAAACGGGTTACCTAATTCGACCAGCATTGGGGTGCTGAGGACCTATTCTACCCTGGGTTCACATGGGGAAAGAGCTATTAAAAGAGCGAGGGAGCGAGTTTAGTTTTACGCCGCACTCAGCAATATTCCAGCTATATGGTGGCGGTCTGTAGATAATCAAGTCTGGACCAGACAATCCAGTGGTCAACAGCATGAGCATCGATCTACGCAACTGGGATACGATGACATGTGTCAACCAAGTCAGCCAGCCTGACCACACGATCCCGTTAGTCACCTCTACGACAAGCATGGGTTTCTGATGATCAATTCTAACCCGGATCTTCATGGGTGATGTGCACATGAACATGGTCCGAGTAAAATTTGTAATTTACACTGTAAAGTGTCAGTGTGTTGCAGTTCGTTTCAGTTATGAAGTAAACGTTTGTTTAGGTTCGGCATCTGTCATTTATATACAGCGTCTCGGGAACGGCAAGTGGTATATTGTACGAAGTCCATACAACACACACGCTCAAGAATTTAACTTGAACTCAGTTAACTTGCAGTTAACAGACTGCATCAATCTTCCACAGCCATGGTAACCAGCACTGTGTTCTCCTCCACACTTTCGATACTTGCCACGCCATCATCTTTCACAATTGTCATGCACTAATGCACTAATGCACCTAATGTGTATAACTCTCTGCCCTTTTGGCTAATGAAATATTTCCACTCTTTTCTGAACATAACGAACCAACAAATTTGGACTCAAGGTAGACAGCCTCAGACTCGGGTGAACAGGCGAAAAAAACTCAACACATGTTATTGGAACGTTATAATAATGCCTTGGTGCTAACCTTTTTCCTTTGTTTGACACCTTCATATCTATTTTTCAGCAAATCCAGCGTCAGTAGATGCTTCTTCACAGTCAAATGCATTTGCAATATCCTCATCCCCATTCGAGCAATCCATAATGAGTCAATTACACCCGATGACCAAACAATACATACGAAAACTGCAAACAGTGATGAGGTGCGTGCTGCAACACACACGCGCGTACACACAGACACATAGACACGCTCTCTCTCCAACACACACAGACACACACTCTCTCTCACACACACACACACACACACTCTCACACACAGACACACACTCTTTCTCACACACATAGAGACACACACACTCTCTCTCTCATATGCAGACACACACACTCTCTCTCACAGAGACACTCGCACACACCCCTACACACACACCACACACACACACACACACACACACACACACACACACACAGAGAACGGTAGCAATTATGGCAACCGAAAAAGCCAACATTTCAAACCTACCTTAATAAGATTAGATCCTGATACAGTATGAAGTTCGACACGACAAAACAAAGTCAAAGAACAGTGCGACTAACAAAAGACACGTCTTATGGCGCCCATTGTCAAAAGCCGTCTCCTCATTTCAAAGAGAGGGTTATCACTCATTTGAACCAAACGTTGAAAATAGATAAATCTAAAGAAGGTTGAGCTAACAGCAGGATACAGATAGGTTTCATCGTTTAACGTGCCAAGCTCGTTACTGGGGAGGATGCCTCTTACAATAATTTACCTGAAATGTTAGTGCTCGTTCATCATCAAGTTCCGCTTTTAGTACGTTTCGTAAATTATAAATCCATGCTTAGTATTTTAAAATATTTTCAATTTTTGAATCATCCGAGCAACCCACCATGCAGTGTAAAAAGGCAATTAAAGATGGCAAACCAAATACATAAATCATTTTAATCTTCTACACATCACAGAAAAATATTTTAGAGATCATTCTGGTTGTATAATGTAAAATAACTCACGGAACAGCCCCGTACCTTGACACTTGTCGTACAAAATGATCGAATACAAAACCTTTATGTAGGACCAAACTTCTAATGTGATGTGTATATAAGGCTTAGATAGTCGAGGAAACGTCACTCTGGACCTCGTCGCAGTGTGGTGAGTTAACCTTGTTTTACATGAGTGAGTGCATGTTGTTTAATGCCGTCTCAAATGATTACTTGATTTCATCAAGGTATCATACAATAACACGGAAGGAAGATGCTGCGCATATTAGGCGTTAGATATTTGATATTCGATCCAGCTTGCATTCATACGACACAACGAAACATCTGTTCAGTCTTAACCAGCCAAGATATCACTCGACAACTAACAATTGCTTCAAGTTCATATCGGGTTTGAACCATAAAGTGTGCAAAATTGTTTGTTGTTAAACGCCGCTTTCAGCAATATTCAAGCTGTATTGCGGTAGTCTGTAAACATTCGATCCGACAATCCAGTGATCAACAGCATGAGCATCGATCTACACAACTGGGATACGATGGCATTTGTCAACCAAGTCAGCGAGCCAGATCCCCCGATCCCGTCATTCGTCTCTTATTATAAGCATCTGGCGGGTTGTGCCACATTGACCATAGTTCAGAATTATTGAACACCATAAGCGTAAGTTCATGGAAACAAAACAAAAAATAAAAAAATCCTCACTTGAAAGACATCGTTCAACTTTGGACGTTAATAAAAATTGGATGCTCATACTGTTGATGCCAAGACAAGAGTGAATTAAAGCGTGTGCTTTAAGAAACCGCTATCGGTGCGAAATTTCTTTTGTGGTTTAGTATAGTTCAACTTTGGACGTAAATAAAAAAATAATGTTGGCAAGGTTTGATGCTCATGCTGTTGATGACAAGATTGTCTGGTCCAGAGTAGACTATTTATAGACGGCGTCATATAACAG